TTCATAACGGCGTCTCTGGTAAATTTTGGCCGTCGACCAGTGTAGTTAATACATATTTTGGTAATTAATAATACATATATCTATTTTATTACTGTTTAGGTTGTGGCCACGTGTCCCACTGTTGATGAGACAGTAACAACAACCACTACTGCGCCCTCGACCAGTGTGACAAATCCGGCCGCGTACNTGTTGATGAGACAGTAACAACAACCACTACTGCGCCCTCGACCAGTGTGACAAATCCGGCCGCGTACTGTCAATCGATGCAACAAAGTGGTCGCTTTCCGGCCGGCAATGGACAGACTACCAGCTGTAGACAGTTAGTACACTGCCCATACACTTATTTACTTACCATGCTGTGCATTTACATTTCAAAATAATACAAATCATTTTTTTTTTTAGGTATGTCTATTGCTTTATTAATAACGGCGTCTGGAGTGGAGCGCTGTACACCTGCCCTGGTGCCACATATTTTAACGAAAGTTCGCGTCTCTGCACAGCCGTCATACCAACACGTTGCGTCGGTACCACCCGGGTGTTGTCACTCAGGAATATGGATGTAGATTTCGATTGAAGTGGGTTCCAGCTAGATTGTCTTAAGTTTTCGAAAGTATTTAGGTATGTACATAGTTACAAGTTTGCAAATATTTCTAAGCAAAAAATAAATGAAATAGAAAAATAATAAATAGATTTACGAAGTTCGAGTTGTTAAATAAATATGAATGTATGCAATTCATAAGTGATATCAATTGCTGGCGATGTTTGGTTTCTTCGCAGGGTACGATGTATTCGGGAACGGATGGCTTCTCCATTGTTAAGTTTGGTTTGAAGACAAACCGGTTTCGGTGTTGCGCCATCGTCATTCTAATTTTTCGTTTAATACAAGCAACGGTAATTTTTTTTTATGAATCAAACTAGATAAGCGCTCGAAGCAGCCATATGAAGTATATAGCCACATTATCTTCCTTCAAGAATCGGGCTTATATCTCGCAGTAACTTAATTCTGATTCTCATTTTGAAGACAGTTCGATTCTCAATAAAAGTTCTAAAAACCTTCGATACTTTGTTTTTATGTGTTTATTTTTAATACAAAAGGTATGCTTTAAAATTTTAGTGCCTTGAAAGGCGCATTGAGGGAAGCATCCAACGTAAAGCCTTAAAGAGCACTTAATTGACATTTTCATTCATCATGAAATGGAAATAAAACACCAAGTCTACACGGAAATGGTAGAAGGTCCGTTGCGAGGTGATACCGAACCAAATTGATAGAAAAAGTGGTGTTCGTGGCATCACAATGTTGGTAACGAATGTCTCGTGCTTAGAAAATTCCCAAAAAGTAAATGCACAACGTTGACAGCTTTTACAGCTTTCTTCAGGGAAAAGCTGTGTCATTAATGACTCCAACGCATTCAATGATTTTATTTGCGAGTTTTTAAATGATGAATGTTGTTTGATTTAACTTTATGATTTAGAAAGTATTACGGCACTCTAAAGTGCAATTTCAAATGCTTCAAAAATTCAAGCGAAAAATTATAAAATAAATATTTGCACAACGCACCCCAGAAGGTGGAAAACGAAAATAACAAAGCAAAATCTTAATTTTTGCAGGAGCAACTTTATTTATTAGGGATAAAAACGGCGAGGTGCGAGATTGACAGTTATCCGGCTATGGGTATCTCCATTCGATTCCTATTAAGGAGGTAGTACCCAATAATTATAGTACACAACATGTTATAGTATACCTTTAAGTTGTTCAAAGAATCCTCTGATTTTTAGTTCTTATAATCTTTTCAGATCGTTGTAAAAATTTAAGTTATCACATCATTACTCCGCCTAAATAACCAAATTCCAATGCTTTTGATGGAACAAGGGAGCTCAAGTTTATCAGATTTAGGCTGTTTCTATGGCAAGAAAACCCGGCCTGATAGGCCTGAAATAGGTCTGTTGTTCTGGCCAAAACTAATTATGGCTAAATAAGTAGATTTCCCAAATTTTTTGTAAACAATACATTTTACCCTTGACGACCGAAGGGCAAGGGGGTCAGTTTTAAACTTTTTGTAGTTTGAATGCAGTTTGTTTAAGTATTCGTATGAAAGAACAAAAAAAATACCACTTACTTAGTTAAAAAAACCAAATTATAAAGTGTAATTTTTGAAAACTGTATCCAATTTATGCTGATTTCTATTTAAAGTCTAAATTTCTTAATTTGCCTACAGCAAAGTTTTAGGGAGCAACCTTTACAAAAACTAAATTGTAAACAGTCTTTTGTTTCCTTTCTTTATCAAAAGGTAACTAGTTCACTTTTTTCAGAAATAGAATAGTAGTACAAAATATGGTGACATAATAAGCTCACGAGATGCTTATAATAGTTTTATTTTTTAATAACTGTATCTTAGCCAAACCTAGCCAAAATTTCCTAGGCTTATGTAAAGGTAAAATTTAAGCCATACATCTTTACTTGCACGTAGCTTTAGTCTCCATAACAACTTATGGCCTTTTACAAAAACAAAATTTACCTTTCTTATGTTTTACTATAGTATTATCTAAAATATAGCAACAAGAAAAAATATATGTTAACACATGTAAAATGTTATTTTTGGCCAAAAAAAAACAGGCATTCAGACCGCAGTGCAATGGGTTATACATATGTAACGGGTGATTTTTTTGAGGTTAGGATTTTCATGCAT